TTTTTAGTTGTTGTATTGATCTACCAGCCTTAAACTTGGGTAATTAAGCCTTTAATACATAAATGCAACATTGGTAACATAATAGTAACGATAGAGAAGTAAAGGTAGAGGAATGACGCGAGTTAAAGCTCTGAGGTCCTAAGGCTGGTAGTGAAGTGAGGCTAACAACGAGACAATGGCATTCGAATATTATTATACCATTAATACAATATTAACAATAACAATGAATGATTGAAAGAAGTAACCGCTGGTTAGCCGTGAGCGATGCCGCGCCGGGTCGATCTGTGGCCGGTGCGGCGGATGAGGGAGACAGTATGCTGGGGGCGGAGAAGGGAGGCTGTATGGTGAGGCGGAGATGGATACAGACGAGCCCTGTTTTTCGGCTGAGCTAAGATTTCAACATTATAGCGATGAGATGCATTTTAGTGGATCGATGAGGACAATAAATTACATGAGCGTTGATGGTGCTATGAACAGCGAATGATGAGTCATCTACGGAACACAGTCAAGCGGCTGTTCGTGCATAAAGCTATGTCAGCAACGTGAAGTTTGAGCATCGATGGGTGCCACCATTGCCTAAGAGTCGAGGGCCAGTATGATAATGACTGAAACTGAGAAGCCTATAGCGGCTTAACAGAATACGCAGCATAAGTTGGCCGCTCAGCGGCATTGTACGCATGGCGTACATTGTGGGAGGAATGGTACAGGCCACCGATGGCGTTGCAAACACAACGCATTTGGAAACACCCACCACTACTGACATCACACCGTAGACAAGCTGAGAAACGAGATACAATAATCTGCTGATTACTGAAGGATAAATGCGAATGTGTGAATGAATGAGGGTGATTGAGGATGACTAGGAATGATGTTATGAGGAGCGGATTATCCGCGCTGCCGATCGGGGGTAAGGTGAGTGATGGCATGTCTCCGCCGAGAGAAGGCACCTGGCTTATATCAGCTGCGGGAGCCGCGTGCGTATGCAGCCGCGGCTAATCTGGATCGTTGATCCTGGACTGCAGTAGACTGTACCTAACTGCCTGAAACATCAAACGTCATTGGCTTCGTTGTTTCACAAGGAAATAGTAGACTGTTCCACTGTTACGTCTCCTCCTTCGGATAAGCCATCGTTGGTGTGCTACTGAAGTCAAACCTGAACCGCTATTGTGCCTGAAACACTGAACATAAGGTAGAGAACTTTTCCAGAGGGAAGTTCTCTATACACCCGCCCGACTTATTTAGAGGCAATGACGAAATTTTGTTAGCTATTTGAACACAAGGTTTTTTGTACTATGCAAAAGTTTAAGAAGAATCTGAAACATGTAACGCTAAAACGTGAATAAAAAGAGCATCGTATAATAAGTGATCTACTACATCTACCTTAATAATTGGTCGATTTATCGATATCGTCTTGGTTTTGTGATTGGAGAAGCTTAATTTGGCTCTGCGAATGCTTTTTTCAGTCTCTGCAGATTCGAACATAATTGCTGCTCTTCTCTCTTTAAGATCCTCTTTTCTCGCCTTTCTGTATTGTTTTGGAAGTTCGGGCGTTATTTCGCGGTTGCCTGTAGCTCGCCATTCTACGCTGGCGTTTCTAGAGTTTCTAGGCGGCAGACAGCAAGTAGATTAGGCAGTAGTTGCCAATATCGTGCAGGTCACTCTTCTTGAACATTGACATGGTCCTGCTGGTCTTCCATTGAATAGAGGCCTTGCATTCAGGCAGGTAATGTGTGAAGAGCCCAGCCAGTGTGTTTACGAGGGCTGGTGGAAGGTTCTTCAGGTGTTCTGGTTTTATCCTGTCCGGACCTGGTGCTGTTCGATTCTTCACCGACGAGATGGCATGTTGGATTTCGGAAGGGAGAACCGTTTTTACAACATATCCATCCTTCTTTATTTCATGTGACGGAACGTGGATGTGGCTATCGAAGAGATCTGAGTAGTATTCGTGGATGGTTTTCTCCATTACCTTTCTGGACGCGGTAACCCTTTCGTCTATGCGCCGGAGTGCAATCATTTTGGTCTTGTAATTGGCGAGCTTCGGGGGCTTTGCGAACGCTTTTCCCAGCCTCTGCAACTTCGGCCATTACTGCTGCTCTTCTCTCTTTAAGATCTTCTTTTATCGCCTCTCTGCATTGTTTTGCAAGTTCAGACGTTAGTTCGCGGTTGCCTGCAGCTCGTGCGATTCCACACTGGCGTATCAGCTCGAGTGTTTCTGGAGATGTCTGTCTCTTGGTAACTTTCGAACTCTCAGCTTTCATATAGCTAAGGTGAGGATGTTGTATGAGCACATCGTATTCCTCGTGGATGTTATCCAGAACGGCATCTTCCCAACATCGACTAGTGAATTGAATTAGTCCTAGCTTATGGTGGTTTTGGAACTTCGTTTTTGAATTTAATGGCTTTTTCTCCTTTTCGCAGGTAGTGAAATATTGCACGAAGGAAGGGATGATCTGGTCCCATGAGTTTGGGTACAACACCAACGTAAAAAGGACAAAGGATAAAGCTACAGGCGTTGATGAATCCCTGAGGGATGCGCCATACATTCGACTTCATTAAACATATGGTTGATGACCTTGGTTTTCAAACAGCCGTTCCTTGATTTGGAATAAAGTTTTGTGCTTTTGTTTCTTAATGGCGTTGTAAAGTGGAGGTTTTGCCAAACATCTTTGTACAAACGTCTCTGTGTTAACGTTGACGTCCTTAATTTAAGATGCTAGAAGAAAAATGGGAGAAAACAAGGAGTGAAGCGTTGATTTCAAGTGTTTCATGATGGAGAGGAGATTCATGTGGGTTAACAAGGGTGGAGGCAACCAGCCTTCATCGAAGATGAGAATTCGATGTTTTAGAAGATAACACATAACATAACAGTTCCCAGGATCGACTTTCTCTATTAACCTCGGCATTGGAATGTGAATTCGTCGTTTTCTTGTTCAGCAATCGCGAGGTTTTTAAACAGCATACATTTACTTCCATAGAGAAGCACAATACACAATAAGAAGAAAAAGCACAGTAGACTAAAGCACCAGTGCGAAAAGTTCTTGAGGCTTTTTGGATAAATGCCAAAAACCCTACAATGAATAGCAGGGGTGAATGCCCAGAGGTCATACGCGACCTGACCCCGCATATGGTTGATGACTGCACCATCCCACATCAGAAATTGATGCGAACATGGTCGCATCAATTTCTGATGTGGGATGGTGCAGTCATCAACCATATGCGACTATAATCAGCTGTTATAAACTTCCTCATTGGAAGTCACGTAAAAAGGGTCGCTGAAGAAGGCGATACTGCCGAAACGTCAGCTAGTGTTATATTGTATTGTGTTTCTCTATGGAAGTAAATGTATGCTGTTTAAAAACCTCACGATTGCTGCACAAGAAAACGACGCATTCATATTCCAATGCCGAGGTTAATAGAAAGTCGATCCTGGGAACTCATTAAACATAGTTTAGAGATGATTGAATGCATATCTAGCCTTTACAATGACTTTCGGTGGCTTTCCGATGTATTGAGCCAGTGCTGCTATCCTCTCAGACAAGTCTGGCACCAATTTGCTGACCCCGGAAGGAGTGAAGACTTGGTGGGCCATGGGCGCGGGGATCGATTCCACGTGTGTCTTGCAGGGCGTCTCCGACCACTGCGCCACACGCGCCCAACAACATCATAGGTTAGACAAAACCTTCTATTTACTATGATGTGGTCTCTTTCGTTATGGCACTCTCCATTGAGAGGCTCCCACGTCCAGCACTGAGGGTGGGGCTTCTGGAATTGCGAGTTACCATGGATTGTCTTGGCTGTCATGATAAACTCAGGCAGCCGCTCGCCCTGTTCGTTCCATTCCAATCCGTGAGTCCCATTGTAACGTTCTTCAGGCGTTCTTCTTGGCCCAATCTTAACGTTAAAATCTCCAATCGTGGCCTTGAAGAATGGATAGTATTCTCTGTGGAACTTCTCAAAATCCATAGATTTTCGACTTCATCTCCGTCATTTCTTGATGTCGGTGCGTAAACGAGGAAGATTGTCAATGCCGATATTGATCCAAATCTCTTCAATTGTAAGCGTCCGATTCGGATTGTTTGTTGTTCGAATGAATCGATGTCCATGAACCAAGTCGTATCGACGAGAATGTCGACTCCACTGACTCCTCTAATGTTGCATGCTACGTGGTGCTGTTCTTCGTCGGTTTCATAGATGGTGTTGGGAGTCTCCTCCTCTCAACCAGTCCATTGATATCGTTCCTTATCCTTCTTGCCTGCATGATCAAGTCCTCGATTGAGGTCTGAGATGCATATGTGCGTGTACTGTAGGTGGAAACGGCTACCTTAGTTCCTTGCAATTTAGGTAGCCTAGAGTGGCCCTAACGTTTTAGTGGCTTCTTCGCACTCGTCGAAGGCAACGCTGCCTAATTGGAGGCTCTTTCGGGGCCAGGAGAATAACGCCCGTTTATTTTACTATGTTTAGCTTTTGACATCCACGTATGCTTACTGACCTCTGAACGTGGGGCCTGGGTTACTCACCGGTCTGTCTCAGAGTAGGCACGGAGCTTATTTGTTGGAAGTGACTCCTAACCGCCTCCTATGTACTTCGGCGTAAATTGAGTGCAGGCTTTTCGACGAATTTACTCGTGAAATACAATCCGCATAAACGAGAACTCACCAACGCTCACATGCATGAGTACATCCTCGTAAATACACGTGATATGTGCCAAATCGGCGCAGTCGAAAGAGGGAGTCCATCTCCTTGATTTGTTTGGGTCTCAGGGAAGCAAAAGTCGCTTTTGGTTTGCGATTAACCTATTCGCCATCCAGGGATGCGCTACCTTGCCTCGCGACTAACCGGTTAGATATCTCTGTGAGGGAAAAGGTCGATTCGACGTCGATTATGTATAAAAAGATGACTAAATTTCTATTTCGGCAGAGTGTTGAGCATTTTTCAAGCAAATGTGAGAGATCGTTGAAAGGATGGCCTGTTTCTTTGGCTGTACAATTATTGTTTTCATGATGGCTGGAGGTTTTGTAGAAGCCATCAGCCAACCCAAGTATTATATGGTCGAACTGAGCAAAGACGGTGCGAGTGTGCGCGTGGTTGAGACGCATAGAAGATTAATTAATTTAGATATGGGCGTATTTACCGCAAACACTCAAATCCCTAACCAGAAGTGTCTTGCAGTAGATACTGGAACGGTCGCTTGTTGTTTGATCACGCTATCCAAGCACGCTAAACCTTCCATCCCCACAGGATCGACAAATTGGCACCAGATTTTTCTACGACGATAAAAATGACGTGATACATTGACAGTTTCACCCATGTCGCTGTATACGCCAGATATGAGTTGGCCAACCTCTACATTGTTTGATAAAGTCGGATGCATGGCGCATCCTTCAGGGATTGGTTAGCGCTGAAAGATTTATCCTTTATCCTTTAATGTAATGTAGACATAATTGGAATTGAATTGCATGGATTTTTTCCAAATGGTGCAGTTCGCAGCATGTGGTGTTAAATTTTTGGATCCTATCAGTGTTCTAGAACTTCAATTTAAACACTAGTAGAATAAGACAGTGCGGTTGGGCACGTATAGTGGCATTCTACAAAACTATTTTGAATGAGTCTAACTGAGTATATATACTGGTATGTTCTGCAAGATGTTCGATTTTGGGTTGTTTGAAACTCAAATTATTTACAACATTCGGTTGTAGCTAACGAAAATAACAAAGGTCCTGCACAAGCTCGAAGAATCACGTCGAACTGAATATCTCTAGGTGACATAAATAAGCCGACATGTGTTATTATCTGCACTTCTTTACTTCCGTGTTCATTTAGCGTAAATTTTTTCGGCGAGATTCCAGCCTCAAATGGAGGCTGGGTCCTGTATATGAAGTGCAGGTAAATACTAGTAGTTGGGCTTTAGAGAATTACCAGTTTTGATGCCGGTGAAACCTGGTGTCTTTGAGGAAAAAAGGTTTTGATACGTTGATACTAAGAATTAGAAGGAATCCATTATGACTCCACTATGACTGTTATGGTCTCCTTCAAACAATACATTTGTAATTGCAGATTCCCATCCCATATAATTCTACATGCGGTCGAACGCCATGCAACAGCAGTGTTCAGACCATGAAAATTTCTGTCTGTTACACAAAAACGCTTCTCCTTAGGTTCTAATTTTTAGTTAGTGGTAGGTATAGATAATGGTGGCTAAGACGTGTGTAACGTACCGGTCGAAGGTACGCTACCACTTATATGCTTGTTGGCACAATCCTGCTCCATAGGCTAACCAAACACCGTTCCCCTCTGGGGTTGGCACAAGGACAGAAAATTTGCTTTATACATTGGTAGGCTGTCACAAGTTATTGATTAGCCCAGATATATATCCAATCACTTCCACGAAACTTAGCGAAGTAGGTGACCATTGAATTTAAAAAAGCGAAAAATAACTACCAAAAAGGTTCGGGGCGATAAAATGAACTACCGAGAAAAAGCGTTTAAATCAATGCTCATCGTCCGTAATGCGTTAATGTGTTGATAGATAAAACTGTCGTGTTATACAACATGTGTACTTACACCGGCTACCAAAGACTAATAATACTGTAAGGACGAGGTTTCTTCCTCTGTGCAGAAGAATTCGATCTCTTCCAAAAAGGTGAAAAAAAAGTAGAAGATATTTAGGATGGAAAAAAAGCAGGAATTAATGAGAAAATTCGTGAGGAAACCAATGTTTAAAGAAAAAAGGAATAGAAAGGGGACGTGATCATTTTTTGGGGAAAATGTGCACCCTGAGCGGTAAGGAACTAGGCGCTCCTAGCCATACATGTTCTCCACGCAGAACTAGATGTTGTTTTGAATGTGTCCACATTATGGTACGTTGAAAACGCACTCGAGTATTTAAGACAGATTTTTGTCAGTAGTAGAAGGAAGCGTATTTATTCAACAACCTGAGCAATTAGTAGTATTGGAATATTCTTTGTTTCTTTGCTTTACTCGTTCTGAATTGCAGTTGTTGAGCCTGGACGGCCTGCATACCCAAAACTCCGAGAAGAGTTTGGTGCCGATTTCTTCGATGTCCACACGGGCGCATTGAATCGTACAAAGCTGGGCGATCTTGTCTTCGGTGACGCTGAGGTTACATAATATTTTTAGCTTATAGACTCCGTCTTTCCTGCAATAATTTAGCAAATATTTTGAATTTTTTCTTTTAAGAGAGTAATCGAAACAATGGCACGTTTATTAAGTGTAGATGTAAGGTCGTATCAGTTTTGTTGGGAATTCTTTCCTTCATGTTCATGTCGTTGTGTATCTTGTTGGAGCACGTTATATTGGAATGTTCTGGAACATTCTACGGTGTGTGTATTAAAAAGCAAGTACGTAGTATGGAATGTAAGAAATATACAATGAAATGCAAAAAATCATTCATTGCTTTATACGTACGCGTACTCCTCACCACTGCGCCAAGACACATTTGGACAAGTTATCACTCGCGAACGATCTGCGTGGTTCTGCTCCAAATGCTTCGACGAGGGCAACACGAACTAAAGAAATCTGCTTCTATTTGGATGACTGTTCATGTTTGACGAGGATACTCTACATGATAAATTCAAGCTGTGGACCAGCTTTTGAACTCGATGCGCTACTCAAAGAGCGAATTGTCGTTAGGCGGCTTGCATTGTTGCTCACCACATGTTCATACAAGTAGGCTTCTCTGAATCTTCGTTGCATCACATACGCTGGCAGCACTGTTCGAGGGATATCTTGAATAGAGATGAGAGCTAGTTTTTTACGAGAGCCATATTCTCCATAATTTTTAGCTCGCTATTTATGGGAACTGGTGACGTCCACCATGACTTTTTTTTTTTCTTTTCTTTTTTTCTTTTTTTGGTGGGGGATATACTTCGTATTGCTAGTTATCTACATTGCTTAAATATCACAGCTCCTAGTTCCAGTGGAGTAAGATTTGGTAGGCTTTCTGATGACGTGTCGTACCGATAGTTGACGCTGCGTTCCTCGTTTTTCATTCTTGGAGTGATCCAGTTTGATTTTTTCTTTCCATCTCTTTCGTGCGAAAAAATTCTTTTAAGAATTAACACAACCTTTTGCGAAGGTATGGTTCGAAAGAATACTCATAGATAGATAGATGGTTGATAACGAGCATATGTATTTCTCGTAAACAACCTTGATAGTGTTTGTCTCAACCGGTCCGGTTTGTGAGCATATTTACAAGATTTCGTGGCATTTCCTACGTTGTTGCGAGATGAGTTCCTGATCAGATGTTTGAGAAGGTATAGAAGTTGTATCTGATTCTTGTTTTCCGACTGGTTTAGGCTTAGATGTTTGCCTCCAGAAACTCACATAGATGAATACGTTATCATTATGTCACGTGTATTAAACCAGTCGGTCCTATTATATGTGCCTTCTCTAGATTTTCTTTATAATGTGTAACTTGACTTGAACAACTCATCTTCATGGATCACAGGGAACACTATGCGGGTTCCAATACAATTTCCATTTAACTGGTACTTTTCTGGTTGGACACATGTAGGTGATCGATTACTCAGACGTTCTTCTATTTCCACATTTGTTTTAAATTTGACTCTGATTACGCCTCTTACCATGATCTTATCAACGGCATGTCTTCAGGATTTTATTAGATATTCGTCGTTTCTTTTACGTGGTTCTTGACGAATAATCCCTATTTTATAACGTTGCTTGGTGTTGTAAAGAAGGACTCTAATTCAATTGGGTGAAATCGCGATAAAAGGATGTGATATCATATGGCTAAGGAACGGTTTAAGCAATAGCTGAGTAAGTTTGTCGTCATTTTGAGTGGTGTAAATTCAGGATTTAAGATGGTAGGACAAGAGCGATTGTGACTTCAGTTTTTCTACGAACAAGATTTTACTCTGCTAGGAAAAAGTTGCGCGTAAATAGTCATGTCTTGCTCATTGATATCTGCGATAGGAATTGGATTTATTATGATGTTAGGTCGCATAACTTCATGGATACTGTAGAACTGAAAACGGTCAGCATCCTTGATCCTCGGTCATTGGTCTCTTCCTTCCTGATTCGTTTCATGTGTAATTGACATCAGCGGTCATTCTGAAATCCACATCGTGGGGACAGAGAAGAATGTCGCATATGAGAGATAGTGTCGACCTTACCATTCAACGGGGTTTTGTGCGTCCACTTTCTCCATGAATTTCTTGTTCCATTTCTCGATGCGAGTTCCACGACATTACTGTAGCGTGAAGGGTTTTTTTAAAAGTATTTTCACTGTCGTTTGCAGTTCGAACTGCCACGATTTTTTTGTTTGGCAGTTCGCTCTACTACCTTTTCGATTAAAATCATTTGTTGTAACCGTTCTACTTTTTCTCATCGTTTTTTTTCAAGTGTTTTCCGGACTGCAATGTTTTCTTTTCGCAATTCTTCAGAATTCGATCCTACCATGTTCTTAAGTGCAGGATGATTAAGATGTGCAAAAATTTTCACATGATTTCTGCGTCGCACTGGAATAAAATAATCTGTTCGTACTTTCTACCTTGAGGATTTATTCTTCTGGAGTTTCTTCTTTGTACCCTTGTAGCTGGACATTATTTCCAGATTTATTGCTGATGAACGAATGGTCGGTCTTCACATCAAGTATGACATGGTGTTTAATCTCAACTCTCAGCATTTTGCTTTAGGGACTTTTTCTTGTCTAATCAGCATTTGTAGAATGGATGTATTTTGGCGGTCGTCGTGAAACATAGTAGGACCTTGCTGTTATGCTTGTGATATACCGGCATATTGATTTTCTTTGCTGCAGTGCTACCTTGTGTTGTAGTTTGTTGGTTTAATGGTCGTTTAATGCTTTGCGGTGTGTAGTTGGCTTGGTTACCATTGCTTTATGGAATATTTTGCTATCCACAATCTTTGTTTATTCCACGTTCTCCGTTTTGAAGATGAGCACTTGAGGATGCGTGTAGTGAGGAGCTCGCCTGGATGTGTGTGTGTGTGTGTGTGTGTGTGTGTGTGTGTGTGTGTGATGGTGGTTGGGCTAAACTTGACTTCTTGATGCCTAGTGATTTACGTCAAAACTTAGGTAATTAAACCTTTGTGTACGTAAGAACAACATTGATAAGGCAGTAATAACCACAGAAAAATGCTGGTGTAAGAATGACGTAAGATTGAAGTTATGAGATGCCATAGCTACTACTGAAGTAAGGTTAGTAAAAAGACGATGTGTTAGAATATTAGTACAACATTGATACAACGATGATAACAATAATAACGACCTAACAATACAACGAACGGTAGGCTATGGGCAGTGCCACGTTCACACCATCATTGGGAGGTGAGGCGGCTGATAGACACAGGGCTCCACACGCAGACTACCGGTCTACACGTATGATGCAGAAGTACGGATGACCTAAACCGGCGCGGTAAGGTCCTACACAGTCATGGTCAAATAGGAACAATGAACTGCACCGGCAATTGTAAAACGAATAGAACGAAGATTTGGTAGATCATGGTGATCATACTGTGATATGTGCCAGCGACTCCGAGACAGCCATCAGATCTACACTGTGACCGTACAGATAGATAGAGAAGCTATCCTGTGGAAAGCTGGTCTTGAGTTCTACTGTATTTTGCGGTCTTGTTCACCTAGTATTTCTTCAGACAGTTCGTGTTTTCTTATATTTTTGGCTTTTTGTTTGTGTTCATAGTGGAAACAGAGGTATTGTCAGATTTATGGAGAATATGAGCGAATGCCTTTTGCAAAATCTTTGTATTCCTCTATTGTCGCAAGCCACTTTCTTATGCGCTTTATTTGCTTCGGGTTTATTTATGGTGCACTCTTTGATAACCAGGACCGAATTTTTGCCATTCACTCACCGTCTATTTCGCTCTGCTGTCTTTATTGTGTGGCTTATCTTTGTATTTCATTAATTTGTTAGTGTGTGCTTTATGAAAGAATTTTCAATATGTTTTCCTCTTTGTGATCTGTTGTCATATTTTTCCTTTAAGACATAGGGGTTTCGTGCGGTTAAATCCTTTTGCTACAGCATATACTTCACATCTGAAGTTTTCTCTGTATTCACTCTGAGTTGGTATTCACTCGTACCGGCCAATCTGGTCCTCTTTCTAACAACTGACGCTGCTCGTTATATTTTGTGCTTCACAATACTGCTTTTCTGTGAATTTGTAATGAATGTAGGTGTTTTTGGTTGCTTGCGCATAATCTCAGTTCTTCCACGTGCCGTCCCATGATTATGAAGCCTTCTATGCTCAGTGAGAAAAGTATTCCATTTACAATACTCTCAACGTTTGATTATCGTTTAGACAACATATTTAGAACATATGTCAATTTTTTGTGCTCGCTCATTTCACACGGTAGCGATGATGTATCGTAACTATTATAAATCCAATGGCATTCAATTACTAGTTAAAAGTGACTTTGTATACCTAACACATAATGGGCATTTCTGATTTTTTGTTAACTTCTAAGGATTTTTCAATAACCGAAGTTCTGGTGAAATGCAGAAAACTTGGTAGGTTTGTGGAACAAGCTTTGTTCCATCATTGTGAAGGTATGTACAAAAATTAGTTAACACAGTGTTATTCCCTAACTCCACAAGCCAATGTAAGATAATTTCAATGGTGTTGAATGAATTATTTGAAAAAGGGATAGAACTCTCGGCGTTGATCAGTTCCTGAGGGATGCACTGTGCACTCGACTTCATTATGAGGTAATGTTTGCACGTCTGGAATATCTGTCCAATACAATGACTATAGGTGGCCTACTGATGTATCGAGTCAGTGCTGCTATTCTCCCATACTAGTCTGGCAACAATTTGCTGAACCCTGAGGGGTGGAAGGCTTGGTGAACCCATGATGCGGGACCGAACCTATATGTACTGCAGAGCGTCTCCCACCACTGCGCTATATGCGCCCGGAATCAATGATTAAGGAAACTAATTTCACTAGATGATGCAGCTTTTTGTTCATTCAAATTCCTTCGTAAAAAATTCTTTCCTGTGTTCCCTGATTTTATTTCATTGGTCAGTGTTTTATTTTTCATTTTAACATCTTTCGTTTAAAAACGAGTTGACAATAGCTTGATATTTTGAATCAGTTGACATGGAAATTTGACACTCGTTGTCATTGTTTGTTGTCAAACAAACATTGTTGTCGGTGCTTTCAAAAATTTTTTTAGTATATAAATTTTTAAAGCAGCCAATGGTACTTGTTGCAGAAACGACGGAAATTAAATGGCATCGTGCACCCAGCAGTACGATGGGAGATGTTCATGCAGATACTGAACTATATTCTTTTTGGTAATCACTACATCGTCCTCGACATACCCCTACTAATCGAATCAGGCTATCACAAGTTTCTTTGGACAGTAATTGTGGTTTGGTGGTAAGCTTCTTTATACTAAGCATCGTTGAGAGCCATTCTAATGCGGAGGTAGTTCTTGTGTTCGAATGACAAAGAAGCAGGTTGTGATCTCCATAATGATGTTGCCATTGTGATTTGTTGATGCAAGTAATAATCAGAATTCAGTTTTACAACCGTGCAGGTGTAATTTCTCATTCGTTGGCCATTGACTTTGTGAAGGACATCATAAAGCAGGTGGTCGTTCGTCAACTGTAGAACCACAAACTGAAAATATCAAGATAAACAATCAACACTGTCTTGTTCTACCTATCTTATAGGTTAAATTTGCTATATTTTCATGAAGGGAGAGTGTGGCGCACTGGTCGGAGGCGGCTTGCAATACGCACGTGGAATCGATCCCTGCACCTGTGGTCCATCCCTCCGGAGTCGCAAATTGGTACCAGACTTGTCTGGGAGGATAGCAGCACTGGCTCGATGCATCGGTAGTTCACCGCGAGTCATTGTAAAGGCCAGATATGCATTCAATCACCTAAAACGTTGCTTAATGAAGCCTAATGCATGGCGCATCCCTCAGGGATTGATCAATGCCGAGAGCTTTATCGTTTTGTCCTTTATATTGTCATCATTTACATGCAATTTGTGAGCGTTAGTGGATTCCTCGGTGTCCTCCGTCGTTAACTGTAAATGGTATAGATTACTTCACAACGAGAGTTCATGGACCGACCATTTTTTGCCCCTTTACAGTGACGATGAGACGCAACTGAATCGGCTGATGCGACGAGACGGTTTGACGGAAGCGGACGCTTCGTCGCGAATAGCCGCCCAGCTGCCGGTAAGGAAGAAGATGGAGTTGGCGTCAATTCTAATTGACAACAATGGATCAAGAGAGGAGTTACAAGAGAAGGTGTGAACTTTTAGTAACCTGTGCAAATACAAGGTGTAGAATTCTTCTTGTGTCTTAAGTAGGTTTCTAGAGCACTTGTCACTGTTTTTCTGATGTTTTTTATTTTATTATATTTTACTTGATCCGTCTTCACGTCTACTGTCTCAGCATTTCTCACATCCAATTCGTTTCCTCGCACCCATCCTCCCTGAAGGTCTTTCTAGTTTTTACGTGTGGTTTGGTTGCTACTTGAGGGTTTTCATTTCATATTGAATGTCGTGGAATACTGGTCGAACAATTCTACCTGGAGTCCTAAGATAGCTGGGCTAGAGCGTTCCCATTTGGACTTGCATAGGGTGGTTTTTTTTAACCCAGAGAAGTCCAGTACCAATTTCCCGACCACGGAAGGATGAGAGGCTTGGTTAATCCGGTGCGTAATCGATTTTCTGCTGTATTGCGCCTAAATACTTGAATGGTCCGTCTTCAGAAATAATGATGTTTTCCTCAGCATTATTTCCATTAGACTGGTTTGTCGTTACTTGGGCGTTGCTTTGTAGTAGTAAGGAGAAGATGTTGGCTTACAAAAGTCATCTTCTTTCAAACATTTACAACATATATGTGATTCCATTACTTCTTTCTCTTTTGGTTCAACGATTTATTAACGCATTGCCAATGACAATCAATTTTTCGTGGCGGGCGCATGGGACCATGCCTAATTTTCTGTCCCTTACGAAGTGATTCATATGTAACCCATATTGACCAAGGTGCTCCCTCTTCCAGCAAATAGCCACCCCGTTTTATTTACTTTTCACTCTATGATTAACTTTTCCTATGTTACTGATTGTTAATCTCCATGTTTTTCTTTCCTTACATATCCTGTGTGCTTTTCTGCGTATTTTCCCGTGCTTTTGATACAAGTGCAATTCATTTATGTGACGATGAAACAAAATTTTGCAAAATGTGCAAAGGTATGTTTCCGTATTCAATGGTTTACATATTCACGGATTCCCCTCAATTAAACTGAGTCAGCATAGCTATCTGGAATTGAAATAACAACCAGCTAGTGGCAAAACATGACATTCTAATGGCTTCCACAGCAGACGAATTAAGCTTCGTTTTCGAAGAAGTGCTAACAGGGAATCTGTTGCGCTATCCATTTGCAAACAATCTGAAATATAACCATGGCGATACTGAGATATGAGCAGAATTCGAGTCTTGAGACTTCGAACCTGCGATGACTCTTATCGATAGCTCTCATGCTATCCACCATATTAATCGAGTCCCTTGCTTTGCGTTTACCACAGCCACGCTTTTCCTCTATCGTTATCAGCAATCATCGGTAAACGGCAAAAAAACTGGCTTGGAAAAGGTAAAGCAAACGACTCTGTTGGTATGGTGTGTAACGCATTGTAACTTACCATAAAAAAGAATAGGTAGTAGATAACAGTGAAACAAATTGAATTCTTGAATTATGTCGTACGGAAGGCGAACAAACATGGTCAGGAGAATAATAAAAAAAAGATAAGGCTCTCGGCGTTGGTCAATCCCTGAGGCAAGCTCTGTGAATTTGACTTCACTAAGCATCTCTTGGAGGTGATTGAATGCATACTTGGCCTTTCAATGACTCACGGTCGCCTTCCGTTATGTAGAGTCAGTGCTGCTATCCTCCCAAGCAGGCCTGGTAGTAATTAGTCGATCCTGGAGGGATGGCAGGCTTGGTGTGCCATGGACGCGGGCATCTATCCTATGTGTATTGCAGGGCGTCTCTAACTGCAGCGCCACACGCGCCCTTTTTGGACAGAAGATTAATTCCTAGAAGCCTAAAACAGTTGAAGAGATCGAAAGTTCTCTTAGTCTGCCATCTACCTATTCTCCGTTCACTGTTTCATGCTGTTTCCCTTTGATAAACGATTTTATAGTATGCATTTTATCAGCTTCTAGGTAGGTAGTTGAGAAAATCATTCACATTTACTGCTCGGATCTCTTTAACAGCCTCGTCCCCCTACCCTCATGAAATAAAGAAGAATGGATATTTCGTTGCACCAGTGCTCGTTTCCAAAATCTGAGAAGCTATTTCGTCAGTCAAGGATGGAACATCACCAGGCCGGACAGGATAAGATCTTCTGAACACCTGAAGAGCCTTCCGCCAGTTCTCATAAACACATTGGCTTAGCTTTTCACACGTTACCTGTCTGAATGCAAGGTTATTGTTCAGTAAAAGACTAGCAAGACTGTTATTGTTCAAGAAGGTTGATTTACACAATATCGGCAACTATCGCCCAACCTGCTTGCTGTCTGTCGTTTATAAAGTCGTCCTAAACAGGGCTTGAAGAACACTGGATTTAGGACAGCCATGTCAGCAAGCGATTTCGAAAAGGATCCACTGCGATGGACCACATCCACACTACAACAAGATTCCAAGTGTTGTGTATGTCACTTTCATCGATTTAAGGAGTTTTTGATTTAATTGGGATATATGCAGTTATAGAAGCCTTGAACAGCCACGATGTCCGTACTCAGTACATAAAAAATATTTGTGCGATATGCCAAAATTTGACAACCAGGATATCCAGGATCACCTTTCTATAACGATATTAACGTCGACGTCAAATGAGGGGCTAGGGAAGGCGATACCATCTCGCCAAAGTTATTCGCCGCCACCCTTTAGAACGTCATGCGAACATTGAAATGGGATAATATAGAAGTGAAAATCGATGGTCAGTAGTTACACCATCTTTGCTTTGCTGATGACATCGTTCTTATAACACCAAAGTTAGCCAAGGGCAACGAATGCTTGCTTACTTTGATAAAGCCTGTGGAAAAATTGATCTTCCACTAAATCTCAGAAAAACGATGTTCAAGAGGAACGGATTGGTTTCATATGCCCCATCCACTCTCTCGGAACATATACAACATATACCTCCGAGTGCTCCACCTACATCAATCTAAATGGGGAAATCAACATGACGAACGACTTAGCTCCGGAGTTGTGCAGAAGGAAGCGAGCGGCTAAGGGAGCTTTCAAGAGCATCGATGATATAGTGAGCAGAACGAAGAACGTCCGACTACATGCTCATCTTTCCCATTCGACGATTCTCTCTGCGTTAACATGCAGGTTAGAAACTTGGTCGCTACGTAAGCAGGATGAAAGGTTACTTAGTGTTATGACGGTGCTAAGAATGTTCTGTACTATGCAATTGGGAAAGGGGATACGAAGCTCCGATCTACATCGACGATTAAAATTCAGTGTTGCTGTTCTATATGTCATATTCTCGAAAAGTAAAATGGACCGGTGACGTAATGCGTATGAACGGCAATTGATGTACAAAGGCCGTTGGCTGCTGGATTCAATGGGATATCAAACGTGTAACCATCCCGACGGTCAGAGTTCTTCATGAAAGCCTTAGAAGAAGCCTATGATGCTCAGCGAGTCTCTAGGCAAGCATAACGCACTGGACTAATCTTCCCGCTACAGAGCGAGACGGACGGTTTTCTAGCGCCCCTTCAAATCACTCGACAGTGAACGGTGGGCAGGCGACAGATGATCTATATATCTGCCAACGCGTCGCTCAACATTAAAATACAGAGAGACGTTGGATTGGCTGTTATAAGCTGTTGTCTAGACGTTATGACCGAGGATATGCTGGAGTGCATACTAAGCGGGTGAGAATTAGATTCAACGATTGCAACAATTATTTGTTCATGTTTTAAAACCGAGTTTCATTGAATCACGTTGATGAAATAATCAGCGCCTGCTTCGATTATTAAGATGACAAGAGGTTGCTAAAAGAGATCTGATCGGCCAGGGTTTCGATATTTTCATTTTCTTCAGTGTCGGATTTGGTCCACAGGTGGTCGTCCTTGCGATTTAGAAATTCGTTGTCGCATCGAGTCGAATCCAGTGAAGTGGAGAACGGCTCGACTGTGCAGCTTCACTCGTCGGTGCCATTTTATACAAGTCAGGTGTTAGTCTCTTGCCGCCATCCAATGTTATCTGCTTTTTGGCCGCAATACATACTGCAGCAGTTGGTATTTCATTAGCTTGCACATATCTTAAAACCGACTTTCGCCGAGGTTTAATGAAATTACATACTTGATACTTGATACTTGAACGGCCTGTCCTCACTAGTTGTGCGGACCCCCGCATAGTCACCATTTTTCAGAGATTTGCTGGTTAAGCCGTTGTGGTTCCCTGGAATCCCGAGGACAACCTGGCGAAAGCCTGCTCCAGTGAAATTATATAGTGTTTACAAAAGCAAATTGTAAACAAGTTGATGAATGCACACTGTTTGTACGCATGGACTTTCCGCATACTACAAACTTAAGTCTATCCATCTATACCTAGTGATTTATGGCTATACAGTGTTATCAAAAGTACAGCAAACATGCGTGGGTACTTGCCGCCGGTTTTAAATTAGCGATGGAACTCGTACGAAAAAAGGTTTATTGTGAATTTTTCCAGGTACAGAATTGAGTTTTTCCTGGTCAACCATTCCACAGCATGTGTATCTTCGTGCGATACAATAAATGGCCAAGAAAGAAATGAGTCACATATGTATGACATATACTGGCACATATTGTTATAAATGCACGAGCTGCAGGCAGCCGCGAACTGACGTCCGAACTTGCAAAACAATGCGGACAGGGGATAAAAGAAGATCTTAAATAGAGAAAAGCTACAGTAATGGTCGAAGCTGCAGAGGCTGGGTAAAGCATTCGTAAAGCCCACCGAAGTTTCTCCAATTACAAACCAAAATGATTGCACCCCGACGCCCAGACGGAGCAGTTACAGCGTCCAGAAAGGCAATGGAGAAAACCATCCACGAATACTACTCAGATCTCTTCGATAGCCACATCCACGTTCCGTCACATGAAATAAAGAAGGATGGATATGTTGTAAAACGGTTCTCCCTTCCGAAATCAGACATGCCATTTCGACGGTGAAGAATCGAACAGCATCAGGTCGGGAGAGGATAAGAGCCGAACACCTGAAGAATCTTCCGGTAGTTCTCGCAAACACACTGGCT